GGATCCTCCTTGGAGACCCCGCCGCCCTTTGCACTCCCTGGGTGGCCTCGGTGATGACCATGGGTTCTCGATGCTGGTCCCTTCAGGGCAAGAAAGAGTGGCAGAGCCTGGCTCGGAGTAGATGCTTTGAATGAGCTGTGCTGGGCCCTGGGGTGGGGTTGAGGGTGGTTGACGGTGGGTGCCCTAGGTAGATGAACGGCCATTGTTCCACGGAGTGGCAAAGCCAGTGCATTTGGTTTGTGTTCCAACAGCAGGGACAGGAATGGGAGGGAAGGTGATTTCAGATGGGCTCGTGCCTGACAGTTCCACCATCAGCCGCACAACTATTGTTGACTGAACCCGCCGTGCGCTTGGCATTTTCGCGGCGGCATCTGCACAGCGTCCGAGCCCTGCGACGCAGCACCGTTCCTGTCCCCTTTGACAGATGAGGAAACTCGGGTGGGGCGGTGAAGTCGCTTGGCAGGGGTCACTGAGGGAGTGGGGAGCAGTCAGGGCAGGTTTGAGCCAAAGCCCCTGAGAATGGAGGGAAGGATGGAAGAATTGAGTGAGGGAGGAGTGTAGAGTAGGGTTCTTGTTGAGGAGGGCTTAGGCTTCCCCCTGGAGGGGCAGTCCAAGTGGAGAGCTGGGGCGGGTGCAGGGTCCCAGGTGGGTGGTGGCGGTGGGGTGACCGTCTCCCTGATGGGAGACGGTTGAGGCCGTCCACGGGTGCTAATGGGGGCACAGGCAGCGGCAATGTTGGGGGCCCCCTTGGGTTCCCGGTACACTCCTCGGGTTTCCAGCCTCTTCCCAGCACTCGGGCTCTTGAGGGCGGAAGAGCTATTCCCAGCTTGTCTGGGCCTGGGAGGGGGCTCCGGGCGGACGTGGGCGCCGGGCTGCACCTTCCGCGCCCGCCTGTTTGCACTTCTCTGTGGCAGCTGGCTTCAGGTCCTTAGTCAGCGGAGGACTGGCTCCGGCCTGGCTGCCCCCTCCCCTTTGCCTCCCATCCCTCCCCCTGGCCTCTCCAACCCCCATCCCTTCCTGTCCCTCCTCCCCTTCTCACTCTCTGCTCCTCCCTCGCCAGACCCCCGCTCTCCCCGGAACAATGGAGGGAATGTGGCTAGGCCAGCCTGGCGCTGCTGCGTCAACCTCTGGCTCATTCTCGGCCTCTGTGGCTTCCAGGGACCCTCCACCTGGGCTCAGCTGACCCGCCCCGCCTCTCGGCCCACGTGCCGGCAGTTCGGCCAGGCTGGGGCTCAGCTGCGCTGGGGACTGGGATGGATCAGCTCAGTATCTGTGTCTGTTTACGGAGAAGGAACCCAGGTGCACTGAGGTAACTTTGCTATTCTTCTAGTCTCACCTCCATCCCTGCGCAATTTCCCTTCCACCTCTTGCACTGCTAAGCCTTGGGCTGTGAGATGGACCAGTGTAGCAGGGCTACTGCGGTGTTCCCTGGGCCAGGGACAGCTGCCTCACTGGGGGCGCCTTCTTGGCCAGGAATCTCGAGCTTGTAATCCCAGAACTTTGGGAAGCCGAGGTGGGAGGATCGCTTGAGCATGGGAGGGCGAGACCCACCTGGATAACATAGTGAGACCTTGTCTCTACAAAAAATTAAAAAATTAGCTGGGTGTGGTGGCACACGCCTGTAGTCCCAGCTACTTGGGAGGCTGAGGTGAGAGGATCCCTTGAGCTCAGGCGGTTGAGGCTGCAGTGAGCCATGAGTGCGCCACCAAACTCCAGCCTGGGTGACAAAGCAAGACCCTGTCTCAAAAAAAAAAAAGAATCTCAGGCCCCACCCCACACCTGCTGAGTGGCAATCTGCATTTGAACAAGATCCCCAGAGATTCCTGACTGCACTAAAGTAGCAAGTAGAATCACTGGCTTAAACCTCTGTGCCTTAGTTTCCTCATCTGTAAAACAGGGGTGCTAAAAGTGCCTCCCCTGTTGGGTTGATGGTTAGATGCATGTATTTGATGTTTGTAAACCCCCAACAGGGCCTGACGTGGAAGTCTGCGGACAGTGGCTGTAGGGTGTATGAAAGCACTATAGCCTGCCCTGTCCCCATAGTGCAGGCCACTATCCACCCACTACACCTGTCAGCAGTGGGCTGTCCCCGGGCTGGAAGCTGTCCCAACACCATGCCCAACCCTGGCATTCCCCAGCCAGCAACGCTTGGAAGACTCAAGACACCCTCATTTTGCAGAGCAGGCTTGGAGAGGTTCTTGCTTTGCCAAGAATGAGGTGTCTGACTTGAACTGAACTCTTGTCCCCCTGCCCTCTATCATCCTGTCTTCAATAAAGGGGCTGAAGCTATTAAGAATGGAGTCTCTGGCCAGGCATGGTGGTTCAAGCCTGTAATCCCAGCACTTTGGGAGGCTGAAGCGGGTAAATCACCTGAGGTCGGGAGTCCGAGACCAGCTTGGCTAAAATGGTGAAACCCCATCTCTACTAAAAATACAAAAATCAGCTGGGTAAGGTGGTGCATGCCTGTAGTCCCAGCTACTCGGGAGGCTAAGGCAGGAGAACTGCTTGAACCTGTGGGACGCTAAGGCAGGAGAACTGCTTGAACCTGGGGGACGCTAAGGCAGGAGAACTGCTTGAACCTGGGGGTAGCTAAGGCAGGAGAACTGCTTGAACCTGGGAGACGCTAAGGCCGGGGAGAACTGCTTGTGCTTGAACCTAGAGGGCGTAAGGCAGGGAGAACTGCCCAGACCTGGGGAGACGCTAAGGCAGGAGGCTACTTGAACCTGGGAGACTAAGGCAGGAGAACTGCCCGAACCTGGGGGCAGCTAAGGCAGGAGAACTGCTTGAACCTGGGGACGGGGGCTGCAGTGAGCGAGATCATCCCTGCACTCCAGCCTGGGCAACAGCGGGAGACTCTCTAAGGCAGGAGAACTGCTTGAACCTGGGGGACGGGGGCTGCAGTGAGCTGAGATCGCTCCACTGCACTCCAGCCTGGGCAACAGCGGGAGACTCTGTCTCACAAAAACAAAAATGAATGGAGTCTCCTTCAGTCAGCTCCCTCTCACTAGAGTGTAAATGGCTGATAGCGCTGCTAAAGCCCTCCTTGCACTAAGCACCTGGCTGCTTGGCTCCCGTTGATGTGGGTGGTGGGTTTTCAGGCCAGGAGGGCAGGAAGTTGGGGAGTAGGTTACAGGGGTGCTGCATGATTGGGTCATAAGTCTCCAGACATGGGGGTAGGCTGAGCAGGGGCTGGGAAAGCCAGAGTCTTGGTACCCAGCTGAACTCCAGAACCTTCCAGGAGGAGCTGCAGAGCCTACGGAAAATTCCCAGGCTATTTTGGGCGGAGGCCCCCTTCTCCCTGATGACACACCCGTCCCTGGGGCAGTCAGGTTGGGCGTGGCTTCCTGCCACCATCACCCTGGGCTCCCTCCCTTGGCCGGGCACTCATCAGAGCCTGGGGGCTGACTGGCGAAGGGGTTGCGTGGCCAGCTGGGTACCTCCTGGTGCAGCCTCTCCCCCTTACCCTGCTGGCTTTTTCTCCGAAGCATTTCCGCTGTCTGACCTACTCTGTATTTCACCAGGGTCTTTATTAGCCAGGCGACCCTGGGCAAGTTACTGGACTCTTTGTGTCTCGGTTCTCGCATTAGTGAACTGGGAATGGAATGAGCTGAGCTGTGTGAAGTGTTGTAAGCAAGCAGTCTGGCCCCAGGACACTGCTGTGGTGGTGGCAGTCATGGTCTGTTCCACTCCTTTATTTGTTGATTGAATAGGAAGTGGCAGCATTCATCAAGGTCCCCTATGGCAGCACAGGTGCCCAGCGTGCTGTGAGGTGAGGCTCCCCTGGTCCATGTACGTGTGCATACAGACGGTAAGTTCGTGCATGCATACATGTGTGTGTGCGCTCAGATGCAGATCCAGCCGTGTGTGGGCACATATGTATGTGTACACATGCCTACACACATACACATATGCATACACCTACATACGTGTGCACACAGCACACATGTACACGCAGCCCGGCAGTCATGACATACCTTGGGCGTAATATTTCGTCTGAGTTTGTTGCAGGCCAGACGCTCATCCTCGGTCTGGCCCGAAGCTTCCAGCCAGCCTGAGCAGCGGGTCTGTTTGCAGCCTTCCTCCCTCCCCCAGCTGTGGGGAGCTGAAGGCTAGTCACAGAGGGCGGGCCCTGTCTTCTGCTGGGGACACTCCAAGGCCATGCCTGGTATTGCTGGGAGAGCAGTGGCTGGCTGGCAGCTGGGACCGTGCTGGTGGGCGGGGCTGCTGTGTGACCCCATCCTTGTGTATGTGGGTATTATAGAGGGGACACAGCAGTGGCCGGCCAGAGCCTCAGAGCTGGCTTCTGGGTGCCTGGGTACCCACCCCCCAGCGGTTTTCTTTCCAGCTGGACTTTGCCCGGCCCTCCCCCGCACTGAGGTCATTCACTTTTCTCTACTAGTCCTACTGGGGAGTGGGTGGCCCTTGGCCAGGCCTCTTCTGGCCACCCCAGCTGGACTCCAGCCCAGTTGGGCCATGAGAGGCTGGATAAAGCTCCTGGGACTCCCAGGTGGCACCGCCCCTACCCCTAGTCACGTCTGCTCCCTGTGCCTCAGTTTCTTCCACTATCAGGTGAGCAGGAATGTAGCCACCTCCTGCTGGGCTGGGCAGGGTGCTGAGCACACACACCAGTGCAATGGCCGCCAGCTGGGGCTTTGGATCCTAATGCTGGCTAAGAATGAGCCTCAGAAGCCGGGTGTGGTGGCTCACAGCTGGAATCCCAGCACTTTGGGAGGCCAAGGTGGGCCAGTCGCTGAGCCCAGGAGTTCAAGACCAGCCTGGGCAACATATTGAAACCCTGTCTCTACAGAAAATACAAAAAATGAGCTGGGTGTGTGGCACGTGGCCATAGTCCCACAGCCCAGGAGGCCGGGGTGGGCAAATCACCTGAGCCCAGGAGGTTGAGAGGCTTCAGTGAACCATGATCATGCCACTGCATTCCAGCCTGGGTGACCAAGTGAGATCCTATCTGGGGGAAAAAAAAAAAAAAGCCAGCCTTGGGGCCATTCCTGGACCGTCCGGAGACCCTGCTCTGTGCCAGCGCCTGTCCTGGGCCCTTGGGACATAGAGGGCCCTGTGCTGCCCTCAGACTCCTCACCGCTACAGGCCATGGGCTTCCCTTGGCATCTCCCAAGGATTGGGTGCACTTGGGGTGTTGAGGGGGCTAGGGTGGAGAAAGAAGGGGACCCCCCATTTTGGATTTGTGCCATTCACTCAGGGGAAGGTGGGCATAGTTAGGGGTGTGCAGACAGGCAAATGGGTGTGACAAATGGAAGATGCAAGGAGGATGACGATGGTGACAGTGATGATGATGACGCAGCATGGTTCCTGAGCGGGCCCTGCCCTTTCCACCGCCTCTCCTGACTCCCGTTCCTAGTCCCCCACCTACCACATGGTGTCCCCACTGACCTCAGTCCCACCCAGACCCTGCCAACACAGGGCCTTTGCACAGGCTGTTCCCCCACACTTGGAACAGCCTCCCTCTGTTTTTCAAATGGCTACCCCTTTCTTGCTGTTCAGGGTCCTGCGGGCACCCTGATTAGCGTGTGTACTCCCACCCTTCTGCCCCATCCCCTTCTGTTTCTTTACAGCCCTTTTGGGATCTGTAATGAGCTGGTTTATGTTTCTTTAACTGTTTATTCCCTACCTTCAGGTTCATCCCTTTGTCTCTGTGGACTTGAACAGTGAACAGGGCTCAGTATTGGGCATGTGTCTGTTGAGTGACTTTATGATGACAATTCTAACAACAGTTATAGCTGACAGTTATTGCCCACTGAACCTGGGTGGACAGTGTGCCTAGTGCTTAGTGTGTATTATTTTGTTTTCACTTCAGCCTGATGGTGTGAAGTCGGGACTATTATAATTCCCATTTTCCGGATGTGGAAACTGAAGCCCAGAGAGATTAAGTAACTTGTCCGAGACCACACAGCAGGCAAGGGGTAGGATTAGAAGTCAGCTGTGCTTCATTAACCAAGCGTGGTGGCGGGCACCTGTAACCGCTGCTACTTGGGAGGCTGAGGCAGGAGAATCGCTTGAACCCGGAAGGCAGAGGATGCAGTGAGCTGAGATTGTGCCGTTGCACTCCAGCCTGGGCAACAGAGCTGGACTCCGTCTCAAATTAACAACAAAAAAAAGAAAGTCAGCTATGCTTGACTCCAGGAGAAAGGAGGGAGGGAGACTTCAGATAGAACAAGGCAGAGCCGTGCCTCTCACCGTGGAGTTGCCAGGCCACTGTTCCCATGTGCTGTCCTGGGAGGCCTGGACAGGGCCCTCCCCTCCCAGGGCCAGCCTCTTTCCTGGAACTCTGGGCATTGAACATTCTGGGACTCTATGACCTGTGCTGGTGGGTCATGCGGGGGTCCTGGCCCCTAGGCCAGCAGCTGGGGCTTTTTTTGAGGTGGGGGCTCCCTGGACTCAGGGTCCTCCCTGGCCGCAGCTGCAGCTGAGAGAAGGGACAGGAGGTAGGATGCCACCTCCTCCAGAAGGCCAGCCAGTCACCTCCTTCCCAGCCCACAGAGCTGAGGCCGGACAGGGGAGGGTGGAGCAATGTCGGGGAGGAGTTTTGACATCTCAGGGAGGGGGCAGCCCTTTTCCTCTGAGCAATTGGGCCTGGTTCTTGGGTGGCTGTGGTTGAAGGTGGTTCGGGGGGTGTGGGGGGATTTCTGGGTGATGTAGGTCGAAGACTTCTATAAATGAGGGGACCGGGGTGGCAAACTGAGGTTGAGGGTTGTGAGAGCTTCAGTTCTTTTCCACGAGCTGCTGGAAACCTGGATTTTGAGGAAACCCCCTGGGATGTTGAAGATAGTTCAGGCCGGGCGTGGTGGCTCATGCCTATAATCCTAGCACTTTGGGAGGAAGAGGTGGGAGAATCCCTTGAGCCCAGGAGTTTGAGATCAGCATGGGCAACATAGCAATACCCTGTCTCTATAAATTAAAAAAAAAAAAAAGAAAAATTAGGCATGGAGGTTGAGGCTAGAGCACACTGTGATTATGCCCGTGCACTCCAGCCTGGGTGACAGTGAGACACTCAAAAAAAATTATATATTGTTTTTGAGACAGAGCCTCACTCTGTCACCCTGGCTGGAGTGCTGTGGCATGATCTCGGCTCATTGCAACTCACACCTCCCTGGTTCAAGCAATTCTCCAGCCTCAGCCTCTGGAGTAGCTGGGATTACAGGCACCCGCCACCACACCCAGCTAATTTTGTATTTTTAGTAGGGACGGGTTTTCTCCATGTTGGCCAGGCTGGTCTCAAACCCCTGACCTCAGGTGATCCACCTGCCTCGGCCTCCCAAACTGCTGGGATTACAGGCGTGAGCCACGGCGCCTGGCCCATTCTTCAAATCTAAATTTGAAAACCCCGTGGGACCTGAGTCAAACCTATTCAGGGCTGCTGCTGTCCCTCCTGGCTGTGTGGCGTTGAGTGGCTTCCTGAGTTAGGCTTCGAGCTACTTCATCTCGTACCCCCATCACCAGCCCTGTGCGGGTGCCAAGTGATGCCCACCCAGCTGCCCAACTTTGCAGATTTGGAAACTGAGCCCAGAGAGGGGAAAGGACTTACCCAAGGGTGTCACTCTTCCCTCTGAACCTTGAGCTGAGGCCACGTTAGAGCCGCTGCCTTTGCATTCAATATTCAGTGTTCACTGTGTACAGCGAGTGTCCTGCTCTTGACACATTGTCAAAAGCACAGCAGTAGTTAAGGAATTCCCTCCCTCCAGCCCTCCAGCCGGGTTTATGGGTGCATACTAGGGGTCACGGAAGGAATTTGATTTCATAACAGCAGCGGTGACTTGGGCTGCATGCAAATTCACTGGGCCTGATGGAGCTGGATGGAGATGGATGCAGCCTTGGAAATCTTCCCTTTCCCTTTGGGTCCTTTGGGCTCCCCCAGCAGGCCCCCCTGTCCTGGGTGCAGGCTTGTGACAGCTGCTCAGGGATGCAAACAGGGTGCCTGAGCTCCCTCTGCGATGTTTTCCGCAGTTTCCTGAAGGTGGATGCTGCGAGAGGGTTGTGTTTTTGCCTCTGCCTCCCTGTAGTGTCTGGCTCACAGCAGCGTCAGGGAGGGTCTGTGGAGTGGCTGAGTTTGGATCTAGGTGGTTGGCATTAAAATCTCCTTGGCTTTGGGTTTTCTTTTTTTTTGAGACAGTCTTGCCCTGTCGCCCAGGCTGCAGTGCAGTGGTGCAATCTCAGCTCACTGGAACCTCTGCCTCCCGGGTTCAAGCAATTCTCGTGCTTCAGCCTCCAAGTAGAGGGGATTACAGGTGCCTGCCACCATGCCCAGCTAATTTTTGTATTCGTATTAGAGACAGGGTTTTGCCACGTTGGCCAGGCTAGTCTCGAACTCCTGACCTCAAGTGATCTGCCTGCCTCAGCCTCCCAAAGTGATGGGATTGCAGGAGTGAACCACTGCGCCCGGCCCCTGGCTTTGGGTTTTCGGCTCACCTTCCTGACCTGCCTCCTTCCCTCCCACAAATATTCACTGTGTGTCCCGAGTGTGCCGGGGTCCTTGCCTTGTGCTGGGGACATGTTGGGGACTGATGACGTCCTGGTCATGGGGGAGGATGTGGCATTTTCATGAAGAACTATGATTGAGGGGGGCCCACGACCGCTTCAGGAGCCCAGAGGAGGCACCTGACCCCGCCGGCATGCTCCCAGGCAAGGTGGCAGCAGTGGAGGTGATGGAGAGGAATGAGCCTCAGATACTGGACTCTCAGACCTGGACATGGGGGTAAGCACTGGGCTCCTACCTCTAAAGGCATGAGCCCCTGAGAGCCTGTTCTCCTTCCAGGTCAGCCATGTCATCTGAGCCTCCCCCACCACCACAGCCCCCTACCCATCAAGCTTCAGTCGGGCTGCTGGACACCCCTCGGACCCGCGAGCGCTCACCTTCCCCTCTGCGGGGCAACGTGGTCCCAAGCCCACTGCCCACTCGCCGGACAAGGACCTTCTCAGCGTGAGTCTGGAGTGGGCTGGGGACACTTTCTCAGATGGGTCTCTTGCTTGAGGCCAGAGATTCACTGTGTCTCTGGCCATTTTTGGGCGCCAGTGTTCCAGGCTGTCAAATAGGCAGACCTGGGGCTGGGCTGTGGGCTGACGGTGAGAAACTAGGAAGGCGCCTTCTAAATTCAGGGTACTGCCCAGCCCAGAAGAACCTGTTGGGAGCTGGGAGTGGCAATGGGTGGGCAATTGCTAGGGTCAGAATCACTGGACTCTAACCACACATGAGAGTCTGTTTCCCTGCAAGACTGAATTCTGCAGCTGCAAAATGGGCGCAGTACCAGGGCTGCAAAGGACCCAACAATGCCTGGCAGATGCAGGTCTTAGGCCATGGGAGTGGAGGATGCTCCTGTTATTAATAATTCATCATTAGTTTCTGGAGGGATGCTCAGTCATCTTTTAGTTCAACTCCCTCTTTCCAGGTGGGAAAACAGGCCCGAGAAAATTTGCCTGGGTCATCCACAGAGTCATTTTCACCAGAGTCTGTGTGAGCAGCTCCCAGAGTTGTGCAGTCCTCAACCTGTGTGACTGTACATGGCGGTCCTGGCCAGGGCTTGATGGGGCACAGCTGTGGGCAGGGGCTGGAATGAGCCTCGTGTGCCCAGGAGAGCTGGTGGCTGTCCTGGAGCGCTGATGGGGCCCCTCACACTTCCCCCTCTCTGTCAGGACGGTGCGGGCTTCACAGGGCCCCGTCTACAAAGGAGTCTGCAAATGCTTCTGCCGATCCAAGGGCCACGGCTTCATTACCCCAGCTGATGGTGGCCCCGACATCTTCCTGCACATCTCTGAGTGAGTGAGCGGCTGGTCTGGGTGGCCTGGCTGGGGCAGGCACTTCCTTGGCGCTGTGGAGGTGGGGATGGCGTGTGACTGTGATGGGCGCTGGGCGTGAGGATGAATGTCTGGGCCTGTGTGAGTCTGCCTTTGGCTGGTGCTCCAGGTGTGCCCCTGCGGTTGTGTTGGGTTGGGGTTGTGAGACTGTACAGAGCTGTGTCGGGATGTGAGGCTGGGGGCGACACGGTACCTGTGATTGTGCCTGGGTGTGTCTTTATGAATGGGTGTGTAAGGTTTTGTGTGTGCCGGGCGTGGTGGCTCATGCCTGTAATCCCCGCACTTTGGGAGGCCGAGGTGGGCAGGTCACCTGAGGTCAGGAGTTCAAGACCAGCCTGACCAACATGGTGAAATCCTGTCTCTACAAAAATACCAAAAAAAAAAAAAAAAAAAGGAGCCGGGCATGATGGCGGGCGCCTGTAATCCCAGCTACTTGGGATGCTAAGGCAGGAGAATCGCTTGAACCCGGGAGGCAGAGGCTGTGGTGAGCCGAGATCTCGCCATTGCACTCCAGCCTGGGCAAGAAGATTGAAACTCCGTCTCAAAAAAAAAAAAAAATACAGAGAGATCTGCTCAAGATCACATAGCCAGAAAGTGATGGAAATGGATTTGGGGGTGCCCGGCTATGCTTGTGGGAGACAGGGTGGTGGCAGCTGTGCATGGTGCATGTGTGTGCGTGTATGGTTTTTGTGTGTGTGTGTGTGTGTGTGTGTGTGTGTGTGTGTGTGAGCAGCAAGGACTGCTAAGGTGAGTCCGAGTGCCCATTGTATCTGGCCAATGGGGAAGGATACCCTGTGAGCCTGGGGAGCCCTGTTTAGCCCGGGGACCAGGCCGGCTTCCTGCCCTCCTTTGCGGGAGGTGGACTGGTGAGGCTGGGGGCTGTCCTGCGCCTTTGCTCCAGGAAGGAAGTTTGGGGTGGACCCCTTTCTCCTGCTGCATGCTCACTGACGTCCTTCCTTCCTGAGTGTCTTGAAGCCCTTGGGGAGCCTGGGGCGGGGCGCACACATCCTAGGGCTGGACTGGAAGGCACCCAGCCCCCCATGCCTCACCTCCGATCCTCTGGGCAGCCTTTAGACAGGCGAGGACCCTCGATCTGTACCCCCTTCCTACCTGCTTCTTTGGCCTAAGCACCCCCAAGTCTTTTACTTCAGGCAGGGGCAGACAGAGTCCTACTCCGCACAGCACACCCACAAACACAGAAACCGCATTTCTGAAAAGAGGGGCCCGCTGCAGTGGGGCCCACCCTCTGCCCCATGCTTACACATCAGATCGGCAGGCAGGAGAAAAAGGCCAAGGCGACGCATTTCACAGATGAACGCACGCATGGATGTGTAAATGTATTTTCATACTGCCTCGTCCCAGAAAGGATTTTGAATCAGTAAGGAAAACATAGAGGTTGGGGCAAAGAAATACTTAGAAAGATGGAAAAAGGAAGATGGAAATACCGTGATGTCTGGTTCTGCTGCTAGAAGTGGGCTGCAGATTTATTTCTGAGCACCCTGGTGACCAAACCAAAGAGGGAAACACTCTTCACCATATGATTCTCCAATCAAAACAAACCAGTTACTAGGGGAGCTGGCTGGCCCTGGCATTTAGCATATGAAGGGGGTTTTCCTCTGGGGGGGGTCTCATCAATGGGACATCAAGATGCCAGTCTCATGTGAGAGGGTGACTTATGTCCCCTAGAAAGTAAGGGAACCGGGCTGGGTGCTGTGGCTCACACCTGTAATCCCAGCACTTTGGGAGGCCGAGGTGGGTGGATCACCTGAGGTCAGGTGTTCGAGACCAGCATGGCCAACACGGTGAAACCCTGTCTCTACTAAAAATACAAAAATTAGCTGGGCGTGGTGATGTGTGCCTATAGTCCCAGCTACTCCAGAGGCTGAGGCAGGAGAATCGCTTGAACCTGGGAGGCGGAGGTTGCAGTGAGCCGAGATCGCGCCACTGTACTCCAGCCTGGGCAACAGAGTGAGACTCCATCTCAAAAAAAAAAGGAAACTTCCTGGGAGTGGTCACAGGGAGAGGCCCTTCCAGGAACTAGCTTCAAGCACCAAAGGGACCTTCTTGAAGGCTCACTGGAGGCTGGGCGTGGCAGCTCACGCTTGTAATCCCAGCACTTTGGGAGGCCGAGGCAGGTGGATCACTTAAGGTCAGGAGTTTGAGACCAGCCTGGCTAACATGGTGAAACTTTGACTTTACTAAAAATACAAAAATTAGTTGGGTGTGGTGGCACATGCCCATAGTCCCAGATACTTGGCTGAGGCAGGAGAATCACTTGAACTCGGGAGGTGGATGCAGTGAGCCGTAATCACACCACTGCATTCTAGCTTGGGTGACAGAACGAGACTGTCCCAAAAAAAAAAAAAATAAGGCTTGCTGGGAAACTGGGAAAATTGAGAACAAAGACACAGTGTGGTTTCTGAGACTCTTGGAACCAAGGGCTGCTATGCTGAGGAACTCAGAAAAGCCCTGCCCAGGCCACCCCTCAACTCCGATTCTTACTCCACGATGGCCTCGTTTCTCTCTGGCTTGGACTGGCCGTCTTTACTCTTCATCCGCAAGCCCAGTCTCTCTCCCACGTTTCATGTCACCATGTGAGCACCCACAGGTGGCTGAGCTCTTTCAGTTCCAACATCAAAAGTCCCAGGGAAGGAGCTGATTGGGCCAGGGCCTCCTTGGCTAGGACAGAGGCTGGGGGCAGTGTGGCAGCTCCCTCTGGTGGAGGGGCAGTTCTCTGGAAAGAGGTTCCCGGTGGTTGGTCGGATGGTGCCCGCTTTGGTGGCCCTATGACCAGAAGGGTGCTGGTGTCTTGGGTGTGGCGTCTTGGGAAAGGGAGCCTTGTCCCGGTGTGAGCACTGACTGCTTTATTTGTGCCCCTGTAGTGTGGAAGGGGAGTATGTCCCAGTGGAAGGCGACGAGGTCACCTATAAGATGTGCTCCATCCCGCCCAAGAATGAGAAGCTGCAGGCTGTGGAGGTCGTTATCACCCACCTGGCACCAGGCACCAAGCATGAGACCTGGTCTGGACATGTCATCAGTTCCTAGGAGATTCTGGAAGCACCCCTTCTCCTGTGCTTGTGGGAGACTTTGCGGGCAGGCGGCAGCAGACACTGGAGATGACATTCTTCCATACGAGACGGGGCTTCAGCAGGGCATGGTCCCTTTCAAGTATCTCCTGGAGGAAGGGGTGTGGGGGGCAGGCGTGGGGTGTTCCGGCCACCAGCACAGCCTCTGACCATCACAGCAACCTCTCACCATCTGAAGTGCATTAAAAGCATTTAAAAAGGAGAGGTGCCCACTGGTGGCTGAGTGGAGATTCCAACCCCAGCCCAGGGAGTGGATCAAGGGTGATATTTCTCCAGCTGCTCAGACATAGGGGTTCAACCCACAGACCCGCTTCCTCCTGGAGCTAGAGGCTCCAGATTCCCGGATCTGGCCCACTGGCAGCTGACATGGACCTTGTGTGACTTCCCCAAGGCAAATTTCCACCTAAGTGCCCCTTGCACCTCTCCTTGGGCCTGGGCAAAGCAGTTTTCTAATTCTTGGCTTGGTTGGTTCCAGGGGAGCTGGCTTAAAGCGGGGGGAAACGGGAGGGCGGTCTTTGGATTGGACGGGTTTTGCCTTTTGGTGCCTTTGCAGTGGGAGGCGGCATAGCTGCCTGTCTGGGGAAGACAGTTTATCCCAGCACTCCCACCCCTGGGCACAGCAGGCTGGTACTGGGAGGCTGAACCCCTCTTAGAGCCTGACCTTTTCATCTGCCTTCTGGTCATGTAACCATCACTCAACAGCCATTTCACAGCCTGTCATTATGGCGGCAGGGTGGGGGTGGTGGGAAGGGCCTGTGGAGGGGGCAGGGTCTTTGTTTAAAAACTTTGTCCTGATCCACCCAGAAAAGAGTGGGTAGCTTGCATCCTGACAGCCTGGCAAAGTCAAGAAAGTTGAAGGAGAAACATACCTTTGGAAAGAGGGTTTTCTTTAAAACTAGTGTTAAGAAATGCTTAGGGATTTTTTTTTTTCTTATTTTTTGTAACTAAAGTTTTCACCCAGAGCTGGCTCTGTTTGCACCTTGCTGCCAACATTGCAAACTTTTTTTTTTTTTTTGCGGGGTGGGAGACAGAGTCTTGCTCTGTTGCCCAGGCTGGAGTGAAGTGGCCCGATCTCGGCTCACTGCAACCTCTGCCTCCAGGGTTCCAGCAATTCTGCCTCAGCCTCCTGAGTAGCTGGGATTACAGGCGTGCACCACCACACCAGGTTAATTTTTGTATTTTTAGTAGAGACCGGGTTTCATCATGTTGGGTGAGATGGTCTCGGACCCCTGACCTCAGGTGATCTGCCCATCTCGGCCTCTCAAAATGCTGGGATTACAGGTGTGAGCCATCGCGCCCGGCCTGCAAACTCTTCTGTAGGTATTTCCGGTAAACAAATCCTTAGATTATCTTTGCTGTGGTTTTGGTTTGGCTTTAGTCGTGATTTAAAAGTAGAAATAGCTGGGCATTATGTTTTGAAATTTATGGCCTGTATGTAGTCAAGAATCCACTCGTCAATGCAGGGAAGCAAACTTTTGGAAACTGGCTTTTGGGCAGACAGTAAATGTCCAGAAAAGAGGTCGTTTGATGCTGGAAGCACAGATAGCTTCATCAGGTACTTCTCATCTCTGATGAGTTTGTCCTTTCAGCCTAAGAACTGCTGCTTTTGAAAGGGGGTGGAAGGGAGTTGTTTTAAAATAGGCAAATACATGTGTTGATTGCGAGCGTGTGGAGAAAAAGGCAGTTCCCAGCGCAGTTAGGTCCTGGCCAGTGTCTCCTCGCCTGCGACGCTCCTTGTCCTCACCCTCCTCTCCCGCCTCTGCCTTCTGCTGGGTCAAAGGTGGCCTTTTTCTCTCCAACCTTGCATTGTTCCCTGGTGGCTTCCCAAGGGCCCATCTGCTGGTACAGTCCACACTTCCAAAGCCAAGACCCGAGAGGGCTCCTTTGCTGCCCCAAGCTTCTCTCTCTCTCTGTCCTCGCCTTGGCGTGGGTGGCGTTGCTGTGACCCTATGTGCTGGCGCTCTGGCAGGCTGTGGCCGGCAGTGAGCTCTGGGGCATTGCATTCTGCCATTCAGGGGTGACCTTTGGATTCTGTCTCGGCAGAATCCTTTGTCAACGGCTCTTGCTCTGTGCTTCCTGTTTGGCCACAGCTCTTTCAGTCAGTGGGTATTCTAGAACTGCAGGATGTCACAGCTGGAAGGGATGCGATACCAGTTTTCAGAAGGGGAAACTCCTGGAGGCTCTGGGAGGGACGGAGGTTGTTGCTGACCGAGGAATAGCTAGAACTGAGGATTCTTGAATCCAGATCTTGCCTCCCATCAGCCGTCTTTCTCCCAATAAAGTTTTGTGTTGTGTAAGGCAGTGCGTGTGTTTGTGTGGAGGCTGGCTCACCTGGTTTTTCCTTTTAAGTGGTCAGGTGAGGGTGTCTCCCCCAGGTGAGGCTGACACATTCCACTTGGCAGTCTGTTGTTTTAGGAGGTGGTGAATAAGAAGATGGGATCATCGGTTTTTCTTTAGTCATCATTCTGTAGCATGAGAAAGCTTAGCAGGAAGGAGAATGCAGCTTCCTGGCATCAGAAAATGCCACTAACTTGGTCAGCAGCTGTCCAGTGCCCTGTTGAAGCTTTTAGGATGTTGTGTGAGTTACACCTTACTCCCATGATACACCTGTGGGAAGAGGGGACCGGCCTCGGGGTGCACTGTCCACAGTCCCTGGCTCATTCCTGCTGTAGAGGTTTTGTTTGTTTTTGAGACAAGGCTGCCCTGCAGCCTGGACCTTGTGGGCTCAAGCGATCCTCCTCCAGCCTCCTGAGTAGCTGGAACTACAGGCATATGCCACCATGCCTGGCTAATTTTTAAATTTTTTTGTAGAGAGCATCTTGCTACATTGTCCAAGTTGGTCTCGAACTCCTGTACTCAGACCATCCTCCTGCCTCAGCCTCCCGCAGTGCTGGGACTACAGGTGTGAGCCACAGCGCCTGGCCACTGCTATAGACATTTGATGAATGTTTGCTAGGCTGGGCACGGTGGCTCACACCTGTAATCCCAGCATTTTCAGAGGCCGAGGCAGGTGGATGGCTTGAGCTGAGTTTGAGACCAGCCTGGGCATCATGGTGAAACCTGGTCTTACCAAAAAAAAAAATACAATTAGCTGGGCATGGTGGCATGAGCCTGTGGTCCCAGTTACTCTGGAGGCTGAGGTGGGAGGATTGCTGGAGTCCAGGAATTTGAGACTGCAGTGAGCTGTGATTGCACCACTGCACTCCAGCCTGGGTGACGGTGACACCCAGTCTCAAAAAAAAAAAAAAAATGGCCGGGCGCGGTGGCTCAAGCCTGTAATCCCAGCACTTTGGGAGGCCGAGACGGGTGGATCACAAGGTCAGGAGATCAAGACCATCCTGGCTAACACGGTGAAACCCCGTCTCTACTAAAAAAAATACAAAAAACTAGCCGGGTGAGTTGGCGGGCGCCTGTAGTCCCAGCTACTCGGGAGGCTGAGGCAGGAGAATGGCGTAAACCCGGGAGGCGGAGCTTGCAGTGAGCTGAGATCCGGCCACTGCACTCCAGCCTGGGTGACAGAGCGAGACTCCGTCTCAAAAAAAAAAAAAAAAAAAAAAGCTTGCTGTTCTTCAGGCATGAAGTCAGGGGCTGGAAGCAGATGAGGCTTGAGGGCCCGGAGCTGGCATGAGAGTCCTGGGATGGATATAGCTTTTCAAGGTCCATAGCAGGGGAGGAAGGGTTTGTTTGCTGTTGGAGCGGTGGGAGTGAGGGCAGAAGGTGGGCAGGTGTGAGAACTCCTGTTCTGGGTTTCCAGGAGAGCAGTGACGGGCAGGGGCCACTGCGGGGTTGCTGTGCTCTGCTGGGAGTTTGCTCTGGCCGGTGTCTCCCAAGGGAGGCAGTGATTTTGGGTGCTGCAGAGATGGGCATTTTTCTTGTCAATATGATACAATGATTTCCAAAGCATATTGGGGACAAACCAGCCCATCAAACCTGTTTAGGGAGAGGCTAACGGAGGCACTTAGCTCAAAACAATGAGATCTGCTGACTTACTATACAGAGTACTACCTGGGTGGCACAAGGAAGGGTTCAGCAAAAGCTGAAGGTGGGGGCTGGGCGTGGTGGCTCACGCCTGTAATCCCAGCACTTTGGGAGGCTGAGGTGGGCAGATCACTTGAGGTCAGGAGTTCGAGATCAGCCTGGCCAACATGGTGAAATGCTATCTCTACTAAAAATGCAGAAATTACAGCCAGGTGCAGTGGCTCACGCCTGTAATCTCAGCACTTTGGGAGGCCAGGGTGAGCAGATCACTTGAGGTTCAGGAGTTCAAGACCAGCCTAGGCAACATAGTGAAACCCCATCTCTACTAAAAATACAAAGATTAGCTGGGTGTGGTGGCGCACACCTGTAATCCCTGCTACTTGGGAGGCTGAGGCAGGAGAATCACTTGAACCTGGAGACAGAAGTTGCAGCAAGCTGAGATTGTGCCACTGTACTCCAGCCTGGATAACAGAGCGAGACTCTGTCTCAAAAAAAAAAAAAAAAAAAAAAAGGCCGGGCGTGGTGGCTCATGCCTGTAATCCCAGCACTTTGAAAGGCCAAGGTAGGTGGATCACCTGAGGTCAAGAGTTTGAGACCAACCTGGCCAACATGGTGAAACCTGGTCTCTACTAAAAAGACAAAAAGTAGCTGGGCATGGTGGCGGGCGCCTGGAATCTCAGCTACTCGGGAAGCTGAGGCAGAATGGTTTGAAGTGGGGAGGCGGAGGTTGCAGAGAGCCGAGACCGCGCCATTGCATTCCAGCCTGGGCAACAACAGTGACTCCGTCTCAAAAACAACAATAGCAACAACAATGAAAACCAAAACTGAAGACGTTTGGGAAAGCAGCCTCCGGTGAGGGAGGTGGAATGAGTTCTAGGTCTTGACTTTGGGGTGCCGAGGCGGGCAGTGTGGAGTGGCGGGCGGTGTGGAGTGCCGGGCGGCGTGGAGTGGCGGGCGGCGTGGAGTGGCGGGGAGCGTGGAGTGGCGGGCAGCGTGCCGCGGCGGGCAGCGTGGAGTGGCTGGGAGTGTGCAGTGGCTGGGAGTGTGCAGTGGCGGGCAGCGTGGAGTGGCGGGGAGCGTGGAGTGGCGGGCAGCGTGCAGTGGCGGGCAGCGTGGAGTGGCGGGCAGCGTGGAGTGGCGGGGAGCGTGGAGTGGCGGGCAGCGTGCCGCGGCGGGCAGCGTGGAGTGGCGGGCAGCGTGGAGTGGCGGGCAGTGTGCATGGCG